CACCTCGTCCCCCGGCCGCAGCCCCGCCAGCCCCGCGCTGCTGCCCTCCTGCACCCACACCACGTAGCACGGGCCGCTCCCGCTGATCTTGAACCCGAACGCCTCGGGCCAGCCCTGGTTGGTTGCCGGCATGGCTACAACTGCAAGAGAAGGGAGAAACAATTTCTTAAAAAAAGGAGTTCTGGTGCCTTTTTTCCATCCTTAACTTTAGCTCCTGGAGATGCCGTGTGTGCCCTGCCCGGTGTGGGGCCTCTAGTCTGTGCCACAACCCCCATCATGGGAGGAAATGCCCCTAGAGGGACATTTTCCCTCTATATTTCCCCCCCAAAATAGCTTTGATTCTTCTTTTGGCAGGCTGCTGGCAGAGTAGCAGTCAGGAAGCTGAGTGGGCTGGAAAGACTAGAGCTACCCCTGGCACCCAGACCATGGCCTGGCACAGCCCTTGTCCCACTGGTCAGTGGCACCTGCCTAACCCCCACCCCCAGGAGGTGCCTTCAGGCACCTGCATGGACTTACTTATCTAGCAATGATTATTTCCTTTACCTGGCATGTCATGCTAATGAAAAGATCACCCAGTGATTTAAGGTAGCTTTATTTTAACCAGCTCTTCTCAATACTCAATATTCTAGCAGTTTGCAACTGCAAAATCACTGCAAATTCATTAGAATTTGCCAGTTCCTCTCAGCTTTCCTGGGAACATTCCTCCGTGCCCTCCCTGTCCTGTGCACAACATGAACCTGGTCACAGCACCCCGAAAAACAAAGACAAGGGTTTTCAAAAGGACTTGCTTGTGGCTCATGTGAAGGGTTAGGACTGGCTCCACGGATGCTCAAGGAGAAATCGGGCACATCAGCCCCCAGCGTCTGCAGATGTTGCCTTTGCTCAGGGTACATCAAACCAGCTGACCTAGACTGCTCACTTGGAAGCCCTTTTGGCACCACTGATGCCTGTGTGCCTCCTCTGCACGCTGACATTGGCTAAAACAATTTGCATGCAGATCTTCTCTCCATTTGAGCTTAGCTGTCTGGGAAGATGCTTTTTACTCCCCTGTTCATTCCACGTTCCTTACCACACCCTAAGCCTTTACAGAAAATGAAACACGGGCTATTTTGCCTGTAATTTTGTGAATTATCTTATGGAGACTAGGAGGACTCAGAATCCCTCAAGAAAACATCCTTACAAATGCACCTTGAGTTTTGTGCTCTTCAGATCAAAAAGTCTCAAGCACCCGTGGTCAAAACTCAGTAACACTGAAAACGTTGTTTAACACCCTGTTACATGCCAGAGATGAAAGGAACTCTTCTCGTGTCCCTTTTCAGCAGCCACAATACAGCCCAGCTTGCTGTGAGAGCAGAATGGTAAGGATGGGCAAGGAAAACAGCATTAAAGCAGAAATTGGCATTAATGACCTGGGGCTGCTCGGCTGCCTGGGAGCAGCTCCTCACAGCTGTATTGCAGAGGGCACCAGAAGCACCAGCTTCACAAGGAAATGTTAAAAAGGACCAAACAATATGCTGTAACTACTGTTTCCAATGTCATCATCTTGTCCTCCTTCATACAACAGTGCTGATTAAAATGCCACATAAAAATCAGGGGTTACTGCTACTATTTAAAGAGGAAATCAAGCTGCTCGCCACGTTAGCAGGCACGGGTGTCAAGGACAGAGGGGAAGTGCTGAGTGAAGCATCAGGCACGTCTGGCAACAGAGGGATGAAACCCAAAGGAACACCAGGACATCCCTGGGGCTGCGGAGCGCAGGTTTGAAGGCTCCAGCAAGAGCCCAGTAAGTACTGGGACGGCCCCAGCAGCACCGCTCCGGGCTGAGCTCAGTGGCAAAGCCGGGCTGCAGGAGCTGCAGGAGCTGCAGGAGCTGCAGGAGCTGCAGGAGCTGCAGGAGCTGCCTCACCCCCTTCCACCTCTGCACCCTCGGGCACTTACAGAAGTCTCCAGCCATCCAGGCGAGCCGGGCGGGCTCTCAGCGGCGCCAGGTTTGTCCCGTTACAGGGTCAAGGCTTTCTCGGTTCTGCTGCATCGCCCCTGGAAGTGCGTCCCAACTACCTGCCGGGCTCCCGGGGGCATCTCTCGGCTCCCACGTCCCTGCTGCAGCCCCCGGGGCTCGGGGGGCACGGCCCTCACGTGTGACACTGGTCCAGGAGTGGGCGAAACGGCTGCCGTGCCGGGGCAGCCCCGCGGGCAGGGGGTGGCTGCCCCTTCCCCAGCTTCTTACTTGAGCCCTGTGCCCTTCCAGCTGCTCTGAACCAGTGCCGGGCACGAAGGAAGGTCTTTCTTGCCTTTTCCTTTCCTAATTCTCTTTACGTCCATGGCAAAGAGAAGCACGGACAGACTAATTGCTGGTCCTGGCCGAGCGTGGTGCGGGCCTGAGCCTGCAGATCTGGGGGGAATTAGGAGGTGGAAGGAGAAAAACCAGATTAGCGCCCGTGAAGGGAAATCTCTGATCCCCACGGGCAAATGCGAAGAGACAGAGCTCGGCAAAGCAGCAGGGACACGGTCACTGCTCCCGGGGCGTGCTGACACCTCGCTGGCCCCGCCACCGGCAGTTTGGGTGGGAAACCAGGGACTTCGGGAATACGTGTCTGCCAAACAACACGCAGTTCACTGCTGAGATTTGGGAGCCTGGATGGATTCCTGCAAAACGGCAGGAGAGCTCTGCCCAGCCTGGCTGCTCCGAGCAGGGCGTGGGGGTCTGGGCTGAGGGCAGCACAGACCCTGCGCTGCCACCAACTGTTAGCTAAGCTGCTATTTCTGTCTTTCTCTGCTTCCTCAGCACTTAGGGATCCAGGATTTGCACTCTAAGAGGTTTTAGGGTATTACACGTCCTGCCGTGGCACCATCAGGAGGGGCTGTCTGCAGCCCATCACGGACCACACAGCAATCCTGCCCTCCCCTGGCACCCGCGTGGGCTGAGCCTTGGGCTGGACGGGAAACAACCTCCTCGGGAAACCTGCAGGCACCTGCTCACCCCACCTGAAGGTGAGCACAATCGTTTTCCCACTCGTGCTCTTCATGTTCATCCATGTCACTGCTGCAAAGAACCTGGAGACCCCTCCTCCCCCATCCTCCCCAGCTCTGGGGCTGGTGGATGGACACGGCTCGCAGGTTCTGCACGAACACAAACCTCCTCCCCAGCAGCTGAGGTCCCGCGCTGGGGGAGCATGCACTGCCCTCCCATGTCCACACTGAAATGCACAGGCCTCCCTGCAAAACCTCACGGCATCTTTGCTATCATTGCCCAAACTGGCAGGCAAAACTGCAGTGGATATTATTGGTTTTTTTCAGTAAGTGAAGTAATTTCTTCTCTTCCCTCTGTTTTAAGTGACTTCAGTACTTTAAAACACTGGCTGTGAATTTTAATCCCTGCAAGAAATAAGTTATGGGATTCCAGGCTAATAAAAATATTGTTCCTTGAAGACTTTCTGCTGGACTTTGATCAGAGAAGACTTTCCACTCGTTTGCTCAGTGCTTGGATGGAATCAGTTTCACTTCTCTCAGGCTTAACCTGCTATTAAAGTGTTTGCTGGCTCTTTTGTCCTTGAGCACAGCCCACCAGGCCCCTGAGAGTGGACTGAGCTCAGTGCTGGTGCTGGTGTCCTGCACAGGCAGCTCCACACTGTGTGCAGGGACTGCAGGGCACAGGCCCTGCCTGTCTGCCCCCAAACAAACCACCGGCCCCCCAACCTCAAGGCCCCTTCCACCCTGCCAGGCTTGCCTGGTTACATCCAGTGTCCCAGCTAAACCTGCAGCAGTAGAGACATTGTGCTGCACCAGTAGGGAGGGGAAAAACAGCTCTTTCACCACGTCCTTTCTCAGAAGCCTGGGGCTGTACCACAGGGCTGTGGGCTCGTCCTCGGGCTGTGCTCTAGGACAGGTGTGCCCCACAATATTTTGGCTGCATTTTTTGCTCCCGGCTTCTAGTTTGGTGCTTTGAGGGACAAGAACTTACCAGCGAAAAAAGGATCCCTTTCCTGAAACCCAACCTCATCTCCTGCCACCACATCTCCTGACCAAGCCAGTTCATTTCCTCCGGGTGCCAAAGCAGCCTGAGCCCCCCGGCAGCCTTACCTGTGGCCCCCGAGACCCGGCCGGCAGCAGAGCGGGACCTGCCG